TAAAAAAAAAAAAAAAAAAAAAAGGCTTTTTATTCTACTTTTACATAAATAGCTGCTTACCTTTTAGAGCCATTTTCAGAAAGATGATAATTTTAAGAAAGTGAGGATAATAGGGAAAGACATCTTACAAAATAAGAAAAAAATAGGTAGATCAAACTTGGGCTTAATCAGATTGTCAGTGGGAATGTCTACACATGCATTAATATGCCATAGTTACGGCACATTAAGTTCAGCACCTGCAATAAGAAGTATTAACGCAATGCTCTGTAACCAGAGCTACTATGCAGTAGTGCCAGCTCATGCCTTTAGTAATGCTTTTTAGTAACACTTTTGCCATGACGCACTAACGCGCAGTAGAATTAGTCTAGTGCGTATTTAGTGTCTCATGTAGCACACCCAGTATCAATTTAAATTAACTTCTTTTTCTTCTAAAATTTAAAACTCAGAAAAAGACAAACCTTATTATTGATGATAGCCTCAGAATCATCAAAGACAAAATCTCCATCATAGCTGTTAGCAAAACACAGGAAGGAAATAAGCCCCACAACAATTTTAGCCCAGTAAGAAGGTAGAAGGAACCACGATATATCATGGTCGAGATGAAGTTCCAACTGTGCCATGCTGTGAAATGCTTGTTCCCAGTTTGGAGCTCCAGCATTATGTTGGTTGCAAATCTGAAAGAAATAACGTACTTTATATTTACAATCTATCAGTTTTGCTTTAAAAAAAAAAGTGAAAAAAATAATGAAAAAGAAAAATCAGACATAACCACATTTTGCATCTGTTGAGAAATGTCCCATTTGCTACACATAATTATAACCAAAAGAAAACAAAAATCTTAAAAATATCAGTACTACTTTGAATATAATTTTGCTTTCCGCACTTGAGAAAGGTATGGCCTACCATATTTTGAGCACAGAGGCGGGAGACAAATAAGCTGGATCTTAATCTTGGTCCTGGCATTGGTTTTGAGGTAGGCATAGTCAAATCACTCTACTTTTTTACCAGTTTTCTCATTTTAAAATAATAATACTTCACGACTGGTGGCGTTATGAGGATTAGTAAAATTTTGTCAAGCTCTTACAGAATTAAACCTACTGTGTATACCAGGAAAAAACAAATACAGCTGTGTTAATGAATCATTCCTTAGAGTCTCAGAACAGTAGAGACTTCCTATGCCTGAAGAAGGTAATTGCACCTGAAAGCTTGCTAAGAACTTTTTTCCAATTACTCAGTTGGTCTAATAAAAGATATCACATCTACTCAAAGAACCTTTCCTGCCAATAAAATGTGAAGAATTTAATCTGGCAAGTAATTCATGTGTGGAACTCATGTGAACTTTAGAAGATACATTAGAGAATTTAGAGCTGTGGCCTAAATTTCAACATTTAAAATTTTTGAAAGGCTGCCATAAAGATGAAGGAAAACTCTGTTCCTCTGATGCAGAGTGCAAGACTGAAGTAATAGGTTTAAAGTGCTGCAAAACAGATTTAGATTAACTATCAGAAAGATCTTCCTGACTGAGAACAGCAGGACAGTAGAACAAGCTGCCCAGGGAAGTTGTGGAATCTCCTGGAGTTTTGCAAGAAAAGGCTGGATAAGTATTTGTCTGAGATATTACAGAAATTGCATAGAGGTGCCTCTGAGATCCCTTTCAGCCCTATAATTTTATTAAAAAACCATAAGCAGTCAAGAAGTACAAATGTAAGACCCCAACAGCTGTGTTCACTAGGTTACAGTGCTTACAAAGTACACATTTTATGCATATTTTATAATATGCGGTTTACTATTAATGCAATGTACTAGTAACATAGTAAGATTTGTCTTTAAGAAGAAACAAGAATAGAATCACATGTGGCAACTTGCCCATGGTGTCAAAAAAAGTCAAGTTTTGTATTTCAGGGCTTTATTATTTCACCTGTGGAATCTTAAGTATATTTGCCTCATAATTTTAATGATTTATTTCAAGTCCGAGTTGACTAGTTTGGGGAGTTTACAATCTCTGCTGGCTTTGTTTTTATTCAGATTCCAGAGCTTACCAGTGTTACCACCGGCACTGGCAAACTCCTCTATAGGCACACTCAGGCATGCACAGAAAGTGCTTTGCAGTCCAAGCCTAGTCCTCCCCACCTCTCTACTTCTGAAGACAGCCCAGGCTTGGCTCCCCATTCTGCTGAAACGTCATGACACCTGGCTTCCAGAAAGAAGGGAAGGGCTTTCACAGGCTCTCTAGAGCAAAAGAGGCCAACCACGTAAAAAAAAAAAGAGAGAAATTTCCCCAAGTCATTCATTTTTGCTTTTTTTTTTTTTTTTAATTTCATCAGAGATTAAAAGCAGGGCTCTTAAGGAGGGGGAGGCAGAAGCATTGCTATTAACAACTTCCAGACTACAGAAAGGGCCAGTAAATACTGCTGGGAAATGGAGCAGGGCAGCTGCTTAGAATTTGCCTTGCCCAGACAGTTTTCCGGCTCCTTCACCCCACCCCTGACTCCTTCCCCCCCCCCAGCTTCTGCTGAGTAGCTGTCCTCCTGATGGCTGTGCCAGGCAAGGAGAGAGGCCACTAATCACCTCCTCGGGCGTTTTCATGACAAGGAACAGATCTGCAAAGCACCCAAGGTCATTCCTTAGGGGACGAGCACTAAGGGGACAGCTCTCTGGCACCGACACGTGCCACTCAGGTGTGCAGGCCTGTAGAGAGAGAACACCTGGGGGGAGGGGCAGGAAGCCGGAGATCTCCCCGCCCGGCTGGAGCCTCCCAGCCCCCGAGGGCTCCGTGGCCCAGCTGCCCCGCGTGCCAGGGGAGCCGGCCGGGCCGCAGAGGGCTGCGCTGCTGGGCCAGGGGCAGTAGGGACACGGCCGGGGGCAGCAACAGGAAGGCGCCCGCTCGTCTCCAGCCCAATGGGCTGGTGCAGGGCGAGGGAGACAGCCCTGGGGATGCCGCTGCCGGAGCCACGGGGAAACTTAAGCCTAGTTCCCAGCCGGGCGGCAGGCGCAGGGCGGGGAGGGGCTCTGCCAGCCCGCCCCGCCTATTGTCCCGGCAGCGCCCCCCGCCGCCCGCGGCGCACGCCCCTGCCCCTGAGCTTTACCTGCAACCCGGAGGCACCCAAGCGGCAT